AGTTCAGGTTGACTTAGTATCTACCAAGGGCCAGGCTCTGTGATCGCGATGAATTCAGGTAGTGACACACACTCAAGGCTATAATTACAATCCTGCCCCTACTCCAGTCAAGATATGATATGGTCACAACTAACCCTGCTTAGGGAATCAGAAAGCCTTACAAGAGAAGCTGACATTTGAGGGGAGAGTCCAGTGAGCTGTAAAGAGGAGATGGGCCAAAATGGGCAGGGCACTGGGAATGACAATATTCCTCGAAATTGACAAAACAGCAAATGTTTCAGAGAAGCAACATTGAAACCTTGAAGAATGGATGTTCCAGTGTAAGAAGTTGTTCATTAACTAGGATAATTACATTTCTATTTAAAAGAAACTCCAAAATAAAGTGACTTAAAAGAAAAAAGTTTATATCCTCTGTCATGAAACAACCCGAACATAAGTAATTGAAGGCTGATATGGCCATCTCATTCTGCAGACCCAGCTTCCTTCTATCTGGTTGCTCAGCCATGCCAGGAAATGGCTTTTATGTCATATTTTAAGATAGCTGCTTCCATTCTCGCCATTATATCAACATTCTAGTCACTAGAACAGAGAAAGGAGGAGGTCCAAAGCATACTCCTCCACAGTACACACCCATTCTCTCTATTCATCCTAATTTCTTATTACTGCCCAGCAAAAACACCTCTGGTCCTACCTCCAGTTTCTAGCCCATATCTTTCCTACTTTCCCTTCAGGACCAGAACAAAGCCTCTGGTAATTTAAATGCCATTATGGGCTCAGAAAATGGAACTGGGAGTCTTGAATCCCTTTCAGATTTTCATAGATGTCACTCTTCTTTCACATCACCTTCTCCAGAGGAATAGGTGGAGGTCTGTGCATAAGGATATCGTTGGTTGAAAGATGTTACCTAAATGAGGATTACTATTGTTATTTATAGGTAGAGGTCTTAATTTGCAGCCCATTATTTGCCAACCTCTGCAGCTTCTTTATGGCTGGAAAAGTGACTCCTGATGAACTGCGCTCATCTCCTGCCCCTTTAAGGACAAGAGTGTCTCAGCAGACAGGGCCGATGGAAATCTTCCCAGGACACATGTAATCCTGGAAGGTTGTAGCTGACTGACAAAATACTGTTAACAATGGACAAACTGATGGTGCCAGGATAGCTCAGCTGAGGAAGATCTCTCTTGCCTATCTGGGCAATATCACCTCATCAAGAAATGCACCAGCAAAATACTGATTCCAGGGTCTTTCTTATTGGAGATGATGGGTGAAATAGCAAGATACATTCACGGGGGGCTGGGCTTTCAGTGGGGGAAATTCACACCAGAATTGAATTGCCTTCTACTTGGAATGCATATGATGCTAAAATTTGGGAAACACTGAATTAGATCATGCATCCTCCATAACAGGAATGTGTTTGACATTCATAAACAATTCATATTCAAAGGACTACAAAATGAGTTAGCTGGTGGGTTTTTTGGCTAAAGCAGCTCAATAAAAACATCCTAGTAGAATTGGAGGCAGGAAGCTGCTTGGAATCCAGTTAAAGGTTAAAGCCCTTTGCACATCATTTTATTCATTTATTCCATGGGATTTAAACCACTTTTCCAAGGGAAACAGGTTTGTTATCCATAACAAGTGGAAAACCAAAGCATACATCATTACCTGATTCATTTGGCTTCAGGCAGTCAAGGTGTCATGAATGAAAACAGTAACAACAGTGAAGAGTGTACAGAAAGTACATTTACAGTTGACCTGGTTGCTCAGCTACTCATAATTTTGATAATTCCACATGGTGAGGGTTGAGTGTGGGGGAGGAGCAGGGAGGCTATACCTGTTAAAGAAGGTGGCAAGATGAGATAGGAGATATCCTTTCACACGAATTAAAATGCCAGTTTCCTTGGCAGGCACGTGTACCTCTGCATTGCCCAGCACCTGAATACCTGAGTCTAGTCAATAAGCTGGAAATAACCTATATTAATCTAGGGAATTTCATGCTATTGAAGTGTGTTTGGACCAGCCAGGGAGTGTTAATGCATTTCAGAAAATAGGAGCGAGAAAACTAGAACCCAGTTTTAGTGCAAACATGCTTCTTAATTCATATTAACTGTCTATTAGGATTGTGTTTACTGATGTGAAAGGTTTGGAAAAACTATGTGAGATATCACATTAAAACAGGAAACAGATGGTGCTTAACTGGGTATGCAGGTGAGGAAGCAGGAGCTTCCTCATTTGGCTGTGGGATGCATGACAAGAACAGCAGCGACCTGTTTGTTCTTTAGTCTGAGTCCGAGGAAAATATCAGTATGCTTCTGAATTATTGTTCATCATGTTTAAGATGTACTAATTTACATTCATGGAATCTAACATGATAGCAAGAATATCATCTGACCACAAATTCAGTGAATTGTGGTTTATTCTTGCTCTTACAATTATTTCTGAATATCAAAACTGTTCCTTCTGATGTTAATATAGAGCATACTGCGTTTTAGAGCATGAAAGACTCAGTGCAAATTTAACCATTTGAAAGTCAGGTTAATACAGGAATAAACTAAAATAATTTATAGAATGTACTAAAACTGAATTGCAAGAAAATTTATGATAGGTCTTCACACAATAATAAAAAAACCAAAGATTAATTAACATAAAAATTCTAGCTGTCACATTTCTCTAAGTAGAAATAATTGTAATGTAATTTTATTTCACTGATTGAACCTCCAACTAGGTCCTGAGTAAAGACAATATGAAAATGAAAGGCTATGAAAGGCACCTTTAAGCCAGAAGGAAAACAGGACTTGAACTCACCTGCTTCAGAATTAAAACCATTGAATTATTTGCTACACACACAGATACCTTTAATGATATTCATTATGGCTTCTAAAGAATGGGAAATATGAAAGAAAAATGAATGAGACTTTAAAAAGTCTGTCTCAACTATTTTGGGGAATTGTGAAAATACTAATGTATTTTCATTTTTTTAAAATCTAAAAATTATGTTCATTTCATTCATTCTTAAAATATTGAAGCATTAGAAGTAAAAAGAATTCTTCCCTAGAAACTGTAACCAATAAATTATTGAAACAAAATCAATCATGTGACATTTCTCTACTCATCAAAATATCACACTAAAAGCAAAAGTTTGAGTTATTAAAAATATAATCATTATAGCTCTTTGTGCATAGGACTTTTAGGTACTAAATGTCGAGTTGCTAAAGGGACAGCTGCTTTCTACTTTATGTTTGTATCTCTGAAACACAATGCCTGATGTTTTGCAGCTGCTCAATAAATGTTGGTTGGACTGAATGGAGTAGTTTTCCAGTGACAGGTTAGCTGGGCCCAGTCCTTATAAGAGTGTAATGTTTCTGAATGGAAAGAGAAGCTCACCCCTTGAGTATTATAAGCATCCATCTGAGGCTCATAAACACAATATCAGGGACCTGGTTGTACTCCTCTCTAATGATGCTGACTCACCCTCCTTTTCCAGACTTTCAGGTGGTGAAAAATGCAAATCCATTTTCTATATTTAATATGACTTGTAATGCATTTGTGTGGTTGAAACACACTGTGAGCAGTTGACTGTTACTGCAGAAGTAGCCTCCTGAAGTAACCTGCAAAAATGATCCGGAATATTATAAGTGTAAAGATAAGGCAGTTCTGTGCTTCTCTAATATTAGATAATACCATAGTAATCACCATGTTAGCAATCACATGATTTTCAGTTAGCACTTACACTTTTTGTATAAATTCCAAAGAGTGGGACTTTAAAAACTTTTTAACTTTGGAGAAATTTAATCAAAAATCAGAATTTAAAATGATATTTTCACTTGTATGGTAACTGAAACAGATATTCTCTTCTCCCACCTTTATTTCACATTCGCCAAAAGCCACAAAAATCAGGAGACTTGGATTCCAGTGCTGTATCTTCAGACCCTGGGCAAGCCCATTAATATCCTTGGACTTTTGTTATTTTCATCTGTAAAGCAGGACTAATAAAACCTATATCATAGGGTAATTATGACGTTTAAATAGAATGAGGTACTATATGTTAGAATACCTAGTCACCTAAAATTTTACACAAATGTAGTATAACAGTTTGATGATAAGGTACTAAACCTTGAGTATCCAGAATATCAGAAAATGAAAGTTCTGGGTTTTATTTATTTTCTAGTTAGTGGAAGATAAAGAGAAAACGATCTTCTTTCAATCTTTATTTTTAAAACATATTTCTGAAATAAGTCAGTTTGCTTTCCTGATGTATTATAAAAAATACAATAAAATCTTAAGATTAAGTGGGATTTAACAACCTTTTGAACAACAATTCTAACTGTAATATTGTAGTTCATGCTCTAGTTGAGTCTAAAACTATCCTGAGCTGACCTTCTGGAATTTTGTTTTTATTTTGCATTTAATGCCTGAAATCATCTGATTTTTTTCATAACTTATTACTTTTTTATTAAAAAAATAATATAATATTTCTTGCAATGAAAAGTTATAAAATAGTCATAAATGGTTAATGTTTCTTCACTTTTGGTAGCACAGGTTTTTGTAGTGGAATTCTGTTCTGTAAATATATCTGATTTATTGTCAAAATATTAGAAAATACCAGATATCTTCAGATATCTTTGATATTTTGAATATAGTTGAAGTTAAAAAGAGAATTGAAAGTGTAAATGTCACCCTGTCACCGCTGTCTAAGGACGTTCCGCATTCAAAGGCTAATTGGATTTAGTAGTTTGGGTAGGTAGCACTTTCTAAAGATGGGGAATGAGCTCTACTAAGAAAATGGACTTGGGTCTGGGCTCCAGGATCACACAGTCTTTGATTACTAATATCCAGCTTTACCAAGAGAGTTTGTCCATTTGTGGTGACATAATTTAATTCTGAATGTAAATAGATATGTTAAAAATGTGTTCTAATGTATTTAAAAGGAGCTGAGTCATATTTTATGTTTATTTTTAAAACATCCACATGGTGTTGATGAGAGCATCTTTTTTCTAGTTTTATTGAGGAATAATTGACATGAACCACTCTAAGATCAAAGTGTACAACATGATGATTTGACTTACATGCCTTGTAAAATGATGACCATAGTAGGTCCTGCTAACATTCATCTTCTCCTATAGATACAACAAAAAGGAAAGAAAGAAAATAATCAAGAAAGAAAATAATCAAGAAAGAAGTTTCTCCTTTCCTGAGAACTCAGGATTTACTCTCTTAACCACTTTGCTATGCAGCTGACCCTGAACAACACAAGGGTTATCTATGCCAGTCCTGTGCATGATAGAAAACCTGCATATAATTTTTAATTTCCTAAAACCTTAACTTCAGAAAGCCTGGAAGACTTACTGGTAATATAAATAGTCAACACATATTTTGTATGTTATATGTATTATATACTGTACTCTTATAATAAAATAAGCTAGAGAAAATAAAATGTTTTTTCAAATTGTCACAAATCTCCAAAAAACTTTCTAATGTATTTATTGAAACATTCTGAATATAAATGGACCCATGCAATTCAAATCCATGTTGTTCAAGGGTCAACTGCATATCAAACAGCAGTGTCGTACAGCCATCATGTTGTACATTACATCCCTGGTACTTAATTATCTTGTAACTGGAAGTTTGTAACTTTTGACCACTTTCCTCAAATTTCCCTGCTCCACCTTCCTCCCATCTAGAATAATCAGTCTGATCTCTTCTACAAATTATTTGTTTCATTTCTTTAGATTCCACATAAAAGAGATCATGTAGTATTTGTTTTTCACTGTCTAGCTTATTTCACTTAGAATAATGCTTTCAAGACCTCTCCATGTTCTCAAGTGGTAAGATTTTCTTATTTTCAATGGCTGAATAATATTCCATTGTGTAGATATGCCAGTACTTCTTACTCATTCATCCATCAAGGGACATTTAGGTTGTTTCCAGGTCTTGGCTGTTATTAATAATCTTGCTATGAACTTAGGAGGGCAGATTTTTTAATAGGAACATTTTCATTACTTTTTGATACATTCCCAGAAGTGGAATTGATGCAGCATTTGGTAGTTCTATTTTTAATTATTGTATTGCTGTTTATTTGTTTGTCCTTTTAGCTCTGTTCATTTTTGCTTTACATATTTAGGTGCCCTGATGTTCAGTACATAGAAATTTACAATTGTTATATCTTCTGATGTAAACTTTTGTAACCCCTTTATCATCATATAATGACCTTCTTTGTCTCTTTTTACCATTTTTAAGCTATATTTTGTCTAATTTGTGTCTTTTGACTGGATAATTTAATCCATTTATGTTTAAAGTAATTATTGATAGGCAAGGATTTGCTATTGCCATTTTGTTAGTTGTTTTCTGGTTGTTTGGTAAATCTATTGTTCCTTGTTTCTCATCCTGCTGTCTTTTGTGTTTTGATATTTTCTGGCATCAGTGTGCTTTGACTTCTTTACCATGTTCTTTTATGTAATTACTATAAAATTCCCCCTTGTGGTTAAAAAGGAGCATCTATTTTTAATTAGGTGTATGGAGAAGAACAAGACAGTATCTTTTATCATTGATTTTCTAAGGAGTTTATTTTAAATAGATTTTTTTCTTTGATTTTTTTTTGGAGGGGAGATGAATAGATAAGTTTATACAAATACAAATATTTAAAGCACATTGTTTGGCAATTATATATTTCATTACTCTCCAAGAATAGGAAAGTTTTAAGGTCAGAGACCATGTTCTGTATTTTTGTGAGTCTAAAAGATATTCAAAATAGTTAAGCAACCATATGGCACAGGCACTGACCTGTCAGAGTTGAGGGCTGGACTAGGTGCTGGGTTGGGGATTGGAGAACTCCTGCTGTGTGCCTGGGAGTCATCATTTAGTTGCTGGGCTGTGTGGGGAAGTCTGGATTCCAGGGCACAAGATGGTGGAAAATGTTGAGGTGATTGGGGTACCCAGATAATATTTTCACAACTAGCAGGGACATAATTCTCACTTTGGCTGAAAAGCAGTTTTGTGTATCTCTTTAGTGCTTAGCATAGGGATTAGCACATAGTAATAATCAATAACTGTGTGTTGAATAAAAAGCAATGGAGTTATGTCACACTCATCAATTAAAGCTGAGAGATGCCATTCTGAGAGTATTTTGGATGAGAACAGGAATACAGTTGGGTTTGAAAACATTGCTGTAGGTAACTGATGAAGGAAATAGCACATAGTACATATATACACAGAGACACAAAAACATCCTATTGAAAATGGTTCTATACATAAAGAGAAAAAGAATGATTATGTGCCTATGATACCAATTTTTATAGTGTGGTATCTGGCTAACAGCATTCATCTAGAAAACCACGCATAATGCTGGGTGAGTTGTAGTCAAAATGACTGAAAATTGTCTGACTTCAATAACCTGGATTCAAAATTGGGTATCATGTACCCAAATTTACCTGTTTCCTAAGACCCAAGGAGAAAAAGAAAACCTCCTAATTAACACTAAGCGAGAATAAATCCTCAAAAGGTGAAACTCTCTTATACTTCAAGATAGTGGCCGAAAGAAACAGCTGACAAATGGTAGAAATAGTAAAGAACTACCATAGGCAAATAAGCAACAACAAAATAATTTTTAAAAATAAGACTAAGGGGAGGGGTGTAACTTGTGCTAAAGTGAACTACTCTGTTTTGGCTTAAAAGGACTTAAACCTCAATAGGGAAGACAGGCTTTCTAAGAACTGACCACTATTTTTGCATCAAAAGTCAATACCTAAGAATTGAAGACTACCTTGTAAAGGAATTCAGGTGTCAATAATGATTATTCTGCGTTCATGAACATAAGCTCTCCATTTTCAGGGCAGATTCAATATTTTTTGCACGGTTTAGGTGTTTTCTGAGGAGACAGCGTCACAGAAAATGACCCACTCACTCTAAGCCTTAGAGATAGGCACAGTTTTATAAATGACACCTGTGTATCAAAGCCTTGGCAGGATGTTTGAGAGTCATACACCCAACTCAATACATCTTCCTTCTACGCTTCATGCTTTTAGGCCAACCAGCTCCCTGTGTCTTCCTGAGAAAGCTCTACAGTCTTCACATTTCTACTTAGAATCTTCTTTCTGTCAGGAGCCTCCTTCCCCATTGTTCATCCCTATTCTTTGATCCTCAGCTTACTCACTTTTGCTAGGGAAGCTTTCCTGATGTCCGCACAGCCCTTTTTTGTACATCTTGGATACGACACACACTGTGCTCTGCTTTCAGTTGCTCCAGCTGGTCTCCTTAAATTGCAGGGCCACAGGGCCAGAGCCTCCTTCTTTGTCTTTGGCTCCTTGATTCCATCTAGCAGAGTGTTTACGCACAGAAGATTCTTGACTGATTTGACCATTTTTACTATTTAGAATGAAAAAAAAAAAGCATGAAGTTCAGCATTTCTGAAAATTTCTATAACATGTGCAAAACAAAGACTTCAAAATCCCATGTAGTTTTGCTCCAGTGGGCAGGTATTGAACTTTCTTAAAGAATCTCATTGTAATGAGTAGTGCTCAGGAAGTTGGATGACTCCATGACTCTTAGCCACAACCTGGACTTGTTCTGCATCTCTATTGTCAGCCTCAGACTATAACATTCAATAGATCACCTACTGTCTACATAGCTGTGTATTTTTTAGAGTAATATCTCAGCTACCTCCCTTGAATGATTTATAAATTATTGTTAATAATCACTGTCCATGTTTTTAGAAAGCACTTTTATAAGCGACTTTGATTCAAAATGAATAAATGCAAGGCTGCTTTTCTCACAATGGACCCACTTTTCAGTGACCCACCCAGCTCTTTCACAGACTATAAAAATAACTGTTTCATACATTAGGTAAAAATATAGAAAACAACTGTTAAAGAAGATAATACTGTTATATATGTATGTACATATATAGTGATAATTATGCTTCCCAGAGTAGTAATTCCTAGATTTGTTATCCTAATTGTCTTCTTTGAGCTCTTATTTATGCTTTTTATAAATCACAACAAAAACTTATAAACTAAGACTATTCAAATAGACCATATCTCAAATATATAGTTTTTTTATACTGGCATGTAATTTATATTGACTAATTATAAAAACAGCAGTTTTGATGTTTAAAAAGCACTAATCTATGAATGCTCATCTTTTAAATCATAGATTTATAAGTAAGTAAATAAATGGAATTGAGATACCCCAATAAGCTTATCTGCTGTGGCATTAAAACCATCCTCATAAACAAACAGAAAAAAGCACAAGCAAAAGTAAATTGCAGGAAAATGACCATGTATTAAAATAATAACATAGATTCTACATTCATGTATCAAGTCTAATACAAACACAATATATTCTACCTAGCAATTCTCTCCTTAAAAAAAACATTGTATTTTAAAATCTAGATACTCAGCAGTGATGCATGTCATCAAAAACAGCCATGAGAATGATCCTCATGTCTATACTTCAAAACCTTGCCGAAGAATGTATTCCCCATATTGTCATAAACAATCTATTTGGCTTCATTATTTGCTGATAAACATTTCCCATCAATTCCTTTGAAGTACCTACCATTGACATACTTCCAGATAATAACAGAGAGCCTAAAATAACACTTTCTTAGCCCTCTTCTTCAAAGTCTTCCTCCAGAATAAATATACTTTTAAAATTCATATAGAATCATATCACTGAAAATTTTATGTGAGCCACTAGTTTCTAATAAATAAAGCTGTATGTTGATCAAATTCAGTCTTTTCAATGCTTTCAAATCAACCATTGCATTTTTTCTTTTGCAATGAAAAGCCACTGAACAAATTAGCAAGTCTGTCTGAAAGCCTATTCAGAAGCACTATTTTATCAAGTAACATTTTAAAACCTGACTTACCTGTTAAAGATCACATCAGCGTTTCCACCCGCACTTCACCCCTAGTTATCAGTAAACTACTGATCTATAAACTCATAGAACCCTGAACTCCAGACTCTGTTTGTCAATCAATTTACCTGCTTTGTATTAACCACAGGCTTTGTGACCAATGTTTACTGTACCAAGGAATATTTACTGAATTAAACAAAGTTGTCAAAGTGATAATAACCATGTGTCACCAGTATTAATATTGACTCATCATGCCTCCCAAATATATTTTAATAAATTACTTTTTCCTTGAGGAAAACAGAGCACACTATAAATTTAATTTAACATAAAATCAAGAGAATCCTGTAATGGTTATTATAGGAAAGCATCTACTCTCTAGGAAAAAGGGAGGAAGTCATGCACACTTTAGCTTCTTCTGCAGAGAGCTGCTGTCAACTGGACTGGAAGTTTGCTGCCCACCAAAGGGCTAAAGAGGAAACCTAGGTCCTAGTCAGGCTGAGTTGTACACTTGGTCTATGCTGCTGAATTTGCACGTACGCAGGTGGACATGAACACAAATCCTTAGTGAGAAACCCCAAACGTGGCTTAGGTAGAACTATAGGAAGTTGGCCCAAAGGGAGTAAAAACTCTCAAGGAAAAAGTCATAGAAGGAGGCCAGGTTTCCTCTAGGCAGGATATACATCAGCTTCATTTCCTTGTGACATTGCTGGAACTCTTTACCTTGTTTGGGCAGGCACAGTGCCACTAAAGGATTCTTGCTCTGCATACCTTCTAGCATCTCAAAAGCAGAAACAATCTAGTTTTACCTGTTTCTTAAGGCAGTGAAGCCTGGTGATGGTTAAGAGTATGCATTTGGGAATCAGTCACATCTAGGTGTAAGTACTAACTCCACTAGTTAGTAATCTTGAGCAATTTGCCTAATCTCTGAGTTTTCACTTTTGTAACATGGGGATAAAACAGCACCTACTTCATAGGATCATTATGAGATTAAATTAGATATTGCATTCAAATCACTGTTGTGAGAACCCAGGAAATACTCAAAGTTAACTATTGATGATGACAAGGTTGATGATGCCCCAATTTAAAATGCTACCTAATTCACAAGAGCGTTTGTGGTGAATGTTTGTAATAAGTTTACTTTGATCTCACTGTGTCTTAAGACTGAGGCCAGGACACCGAAATTCACAGAATGTGAAAATGTCAAAAAAACTGGGCAGGGGTTTCAATTTTAATGGTGAACAAGACATTCAAAACCGTTCAGAGTTTCCAGTCCTGTTGGAAGGAACAGAATAAAAGTCAATTTCAATACACTGCAAAGATGACAGGCACTTTGTCCTAAAGACATATGTCACTCAGGCTTGAGGGTCCATGTGTGGAGTGTTCTGGAAGACTTACTAAGGAAGTGAATATGACAGATATATGAAAATGAGTAGGAGTTAGATAACCATGCAAGTGCTGGGGGGAAAGGTGGGGGATAAAGAATAAAGGTGATGACAGAAGGTGTATATGGCAGGAAGTCACCATTACACACAACAAGAATGATACATGCAAAGGCTTGGAGAGAAAAGCTGTTGAGAGAGTGTGTGGTGGCGGGGAGGGCAGTAGTCACAGTAACATTAGAAACTTGCATTTATTGGTGGCTGACTAATTGGCCCTGTGTCTGGGCGCAGGCTCTGGAATCCCGTTGCTTGGAGTGGGTGCGGGGAGGGGAGGGTCAGTGCTCAGATGCTCAGAGATTCTTACTCACTTGGTATTGGATAGGGTCTCAGTGCTGCTGTTGGTTAAAGGCATTCTAAGCAACTAGTATTTAGACTTAAATTAAATCCAGATCAACTTATCAAAAGGTAGCAGGGACATCTGGTAATGGACTTTTGTCCTGAAGAGAGGAAAATGTGGTTGTGACGTCAAAAAGCATTTTCATGACACTGTGATTAGAACATTAGCAACTGCTCTCTGGCACTTTCCAGCACTCCTAGGAAAGGGGAAGAATGAGGACTCCTCAGGGCCACATGGGAGATACTCACAAGCTCATCGAGGGTTACATCCTTGCTTCTAAAACCAGCCAAGGTGTCCCAGCTATCCATTTTCATTTATATCCCAAGATACATCTTTCAGAACTAAAAAAGAAACATTTGAAAATGCCTTCGTTATTTAATGTTGATCTCATCATTAGCCTGTGGTAAACAGCTGTTCAGTGCACAGATACTTTTAAGAAAAACTAACTGAAAGGAGATGCAGAGCTTGAAATTTGTTCTATTTTTTTAATATGGTCTTTTTTCCATGCCCCTGGTTACATGGACATGGGCTAAGTTACAGGCACAATTTATTCTTAGCCACCACTCATAAACTGGCCATAGTTGCTAGCATGTTGCATTTATACGAAAGGAGCTCTGCCTTTGGTTAGATGGGAAAAGTACCTCCAAATCTGTTTCTCTAGGGGGCTCCCTACATTGGAGTTTTCTGTAATGAATAATCACTTACGTGAGTACCAATGCTCCTTTCTTAGACAAGTCATTACCATACTCCCATCTACATTCCCCAGCTTGGTGTGAGATTCAGCTTCCATCCAGATAAGATTATTTCAGCTCTATTTTATATTCACTTCTCTTTTTCATGGATGTAAGAAGGGGGCCCTTGAGCTGTCTTCTGCAATATTCCCACCATTCATTCTCAGCCTTCAATCCCCCATGCACCTCAGTGCTCTAAACCTTGTATCCAGACTCTGCCAACTCATAACTGCCTTTCAGAGCGTTGAAAATAGAGACCCTGTCACTCTGTGCGAAGTCGTATTTGTTCACAGTGGGGACCTGGGGCTTGATGTAAGTGAGGACAAATTCAATCAAATTATTAATCTATGCTATGCAATCAGATTCAATCAAATTATTAATCAAGTTGGATCACCTTGTTCTAGAATTTTTATAAATAAAATATGACTAAACATTTCAGCTAATATGCCCAGGTAATCACTCAGGAGAATGAAACAAGTATATTTTGTAGGATTTCTGCTAAGGAAGAAAGAAAATCTGGGTTAGATCCTTATTTCTGATGCTTAAATGAAATTCACTCAAAAGGAGTTTTTCACTAAAATCATAGTGTTAGTCATCAATAAATAAATAATAACACAAGTCCCCAGGACAGAATAAAAGCTGAGCACCCACTGCTCAAAACCTGCCAGGAAACATATCCCCCAAGGAAGAAAGGTAAAAATATCAGAGGGAAACTGGCAATATCTCCCAGGTATCTACAAGATGCCTAGAAGGGAATGTCATTTTCTCACCAATAATCTGCACTTTAATCTTACATGAAACAATTTTTCACAAAAAAAGTCTCTGTTCCCTTGTATTTGATAAAGAAAAAGAATTAGAAATAGGCCCAATTTCCTTTAGAAAAGTAGGTTTCTTCAGCTTTCGATTGGCCTTTCTCATGACCCCCTATACAAGAAGACAGATAATAAATACAATGATTTATACTGAAAAGAGAACAGTGAGGATAATGGCCCAAACAGTGCTGTCTTTTATTATGTTACCATAGTAAATAATAGCAGTACCACTCACACCGTTACACTTAAGGTTGTAGCAGCGATTCCATTATAATTCGTGTTTTTCAGAAGTTTATAACTTGGTCTTGACAATATACTCCAGCCTGAGACTGGCCATGCTATTTTTAGTCTGGTTTTCCTTGGTTGTCATACTATTACTGAATAATCAAACTGGAAAATTAAATAGTACTTTCACTACGTTTTCTGGCCGTACTTTGCATGTATATGTATATTAGAAACTTCTTCTGTAACATGAACAGCCTTCCCTCCACTTGTTTGCCTACACATTCAACACTTGTATTTGGAAAAATGGAGAACACTCAGTATATTTCAGTGTTCATTTATTGAGATGATCACCATCATAACTTACTACAAATTACCTAAAAGGGTATATATTAAGAAAATTTTCATATATACTTGCTAATTCTGTAAATAAGAGGATGTTTGTTTAATTTAGGTACATAGTCTGATTTGAAGACAGAGACACAATTCAACTAACGGCGGGGTGATTCAATAAAAGATATTAATAAAGAGGAAACATAATATCTTGGTAAGCCAGACTGAAGAAAGGGCAATTTTTTCATTATATCCCTTTGGTACCCCTAATATGAGGAGAGAGATGAGTATAGTCTGTCTTAGTTTTTACTATCCAAATAATTAATTGGAATGGGAGACAACTTTTTTTTTGGTAAAAAAATAATTGTTAACCATTCAGCAGTAGAATGAAAAAATTAGGAACCATATGGGAAATTGTCAACACAACAAAGCCTAAAATTTAAAATAATTTGGCTCTGATGTTAACTCTGCTGACCTTAAGAGGAGAAATTCAGAGTCCTTAGCCTTTGTTTGAATCTACCAAAGCATAACTCCCTATTAAAAAGAAAGGTTCTCTTGAGATTGGGAGCTACCTCAAGGATACTGTCTTGCTCACTCTTTCTCCCCAGTGCCTAGAAAATACAATTTTGCCTATGGATAATGGAAAATAGAATCTTCACTTTATTAGCATATTTTCCAAGATTTAATTTGCAGATTTGAATAACTGTATTTTAGTTTTCCATGACAAGAACAAAAGGGGAAACTTTTCAGTTTTGAGCAATTCTCTGAAATATTTCAAGTTGAAAGAAATTAGTTAATTTTGTGTTTAATTCCAAACTCAAGAGTTCTCTCAAAGTGGAGGAGAAATAATCAGCTCGGAAGGAATGAAAAAAATTTCATTCTTCAGCTATTATTCAGAATATAAATTCACCAGATCAGACCCTGAAATATAAGAACTATAAATACAGGTAATACTTGTAATTGGTATAGAACCTTATCAGACGATGTAAATGAAGGACACCAGTACCTACCAGAGACTATCCAAAGACTGATCCAGAAAAATGGAGGAGGTACTAGAGAAGAAATAGGTGGTCTCTGCAATGAATGGCTGGATTAGAACCATAAAGCAAATATCTGAATCACAAATTTAAAAAATCTCATATTGTGAGTCTTTTATATCAAACTATAAAGTACTAAAATATGAGGGTAAATAAGGACTTGTATCAGTAATAAACAGTAATACATGAAATAACTTATTTTTTTTATCACAAATCTCATTTACCTAAACTTGTCCTTTGCAACTACCCAAATCCATGTGATCACCAATAACGGAAAAACGATCAGAAGTGCTTTGCCTGTCTTTCTGGTGCCAACACCCCTGACATGCAAAAGCACATCTGAAATCCTACGAATAACGTAATGTGTGTGATAAGGAGACTCTGATGTATCGCAAATGTGGTTTTAGGTTTAGGAAGAAAAGTGAGATTACAACAAAATAAAACAATTAAGGCACCAAAAAGCCAAGGCAGGGAATGACTAGAAACATGTGGTTAATCTTGACATCATCCAAGAGAAATATCACATGTGCAGGGCAGGATGGCATAGTGATCACCAGCACTAATTCTGCCACCAGGCTGCTTTGGTTCAGCCCTCAGTCCAGACTCCGATGGGCTGGTGAAGCCAAGTATCTCTGTGGCCCCGTTTTCCCAGCTTTCCAATGGGAAGGATAACAATATCAACTCAGTGAGAATTCCATACCATCTGCTATTATTTCATTTTTACAGACAACAAAATAATCATCAGGATGGAAAGATGCTTGCTTAGAATTGCATGTTTTAAAAGCAGAGCTGAGAGAAAGATTATACCTACCTTTAGATTCTAGAGGCCTGAGACTTTTTACTACTCCACACCACCCCTTTCAATTTTCTGTCACCAGACATGTGAGAATTCACAAAAGTGACCCTTGACACTTAGTCATCTTAGAAAATTTGAGGATAAGAGGAGCAAAATGACAGAAGGAGAAGCCCGCACAGCGGTTCTCAGCCTGCCCATCCCATGGAGCTGGCCACAAATGGCCTCTGGACTCCGGATCTGAACTCAGCAGGACACAGCCTCCAACAAGAAAGAGGCAAAACCTGCCCTTTGAAGGGAAAACGTTCACTCGCCAATCTATCTTCCCAAATAAGAAGCTATTTTTCCTAACTTCGGGCTGTGAATTTTTCACCATTACATATCATGTGATACTAGTAACATTCTTCCCCAGAAGTTACCATTTGCTTTATAAATACATTTCTGCAGAACAACCAATATTGGTTATGAGTATGTTTTCATTATTCCTTTGGTTCTGTCACACAGTGTTATGATTCTTCTAGCAGTGCTGGAAACATGCACTGCATTTTAAAAATGATCATTAGGACGGCATAATTACCATCAATTGTTTAAAGAAATGAACAGCTATTTATTATACAACACCCAGGCACATGAATGTGTTTTCTTGTACAGTTTGTGTTGATTTAAGTGCTTATTATGGATGAAGGATATTGATCAAATACTTTTGCAAATGGTCTGAAAACATAGAATTCCCTTTTTCCTTTCCACCACTACAAACTTCAACATGAAATATTTTACCAGTATGCTATGAACACCAATAGTATAACATAAACCATGGAAAAATTCCAGGCAGTGTTGATATATTTTATGAATGCTATGGGATGGCATATTGGAGGTGTACATCTGTGGGGGTTGGCTAGTCATCCCACTGCCGTCTGTGTATCTGTATGTGTAAATGAATTACCTAATATAAAAACAGTGCATAAACATGTTTAATGTCATAGAATTTCCTTTATAGGGTACAGAATATTCAAATTTGAGAAAAGAAGTAGAGAATTATGTTCAACTGCTGTTGCCTGGGAATAGGGAATGTCTGAAAAGACAAAGTGCAGCACCTAAACAGAAATGCCTTAGTTAAAATGCTTGACTGTTCTCCTTTTCTTCCTTTATTATAACATCTTGTTTTACTGGCAGCAATGTTCTTGCAACCTTAGGATAGTGAGAGATGACTTTTTATCAGAAGACTGGAGAAGCCATCCCACACCTGAGGATCATTCAGTGACTACCAAATTCCTTCCTTCTTGAGGAAAAACCAAACCAATAATATACAACCCTCAATCCTAGATTCCCATCTCTGAATTAATCTTTATACAACAAACATTGCAGTCACTTACCAAAAGAGGCCCCTGATAACTGATCTAAGAATCATTTATTGATGTGACATTCTTGTCCTAGCCTTTACATACACGTAAAAGTCCCTCAAAGATAAGCCCCAGCTACAGGGCTTGATGTCAACAGTTTCACCCTGAATTCTCTTTTCCCCCCTTGCATTTAATTCCTTCATGATGTCTTTTACTGGCTAAATAATGTAAACGATTTTGTTTAGTATATTGACTGACTTCAATTTTCATTATGTTTTCTCTTAATTCTTAGACACTGTTTTACTTGAGTCATTATTTCTCCATGGGTTCATTATCCTCTAAACAATTGTGTGTATGTGTGTGTGTGTGTGTGTGTGTGTGTGTGTGTGTGTGTGTGAACTACACGCATGAATAAAAACTACAGAGAACTACATATGAATAAAAAGAAGCAACAAACGATCCTTTAAGGGAAACTATACACAGGCATGTACAGTACACATGATTGGTATTAATTTCAACGGTGGGATTTTTCTAAGTAAGACAAGAAACAATAAAACTCTTATTTTTAGCCGACAGTTTGTGAGCTAATTTAGTTCCTGAAACCCTTCCAAGCATGATAGCTTAAATTTGCCCCAGATGGACTTTCTCTTCTGTTCAAATTGCTCTACAGCAACATAACAGCCATTTATAACAAAGTCTGCAGAAATGGGCTGGCACTTCTCGTCTTCCAAATACATTGGTCTGTTTGTAAGGAGAGTGCCCCCATAAATCACCATGAGTTAAAGAGGAATGCACACGTCCCAATCAAAACATCAGGAAGAAACCGTTGCCCAATAGATAAGAACACAAACAAGCGCAAAGCATCACTTGAGTTTTTATAGACGGCCCTTATTTTTGGAAGGCAACCCGTGCTGTTTCACATGCTGTACTTTTTCTAATCGGACTGACTCACAGTCTTGTGATAGTGAGATAAGCTAGGTAGGCAAATTTTTATAGAGTTGCAATTACTGAAATTGTCATTACGCTGCTCACTGTAAAATAAATATAGATAGAAGTGAAATTATGCACAGGCTAGAAGTAGAAAGTGTTTTGCTTCTGTTTGCTAAATTAATCTCTTCCTAAATGGCTGCAGGCCAGGTAGGTTAGCATTTGTGGTTTCAAAGGTTTTCAGCGCTTGCAATGAGCCATGAAATTACTGCATGCTGCTGAAAATGGCAGCTGATGAAAGGAAAAGAGTGAATCCCAAAGGCAGAAAGACAGGAGGAAGCAAAATTACAGGCAGAAAGTCTGATTTTTGATGTTGCTCATTGTGAAATGTACACCCAAACTTTTAATAAAACATAAAACATTAATAAACCTGCTAACAATTCCTTACAATTTCTTTTGAAGTCTGAGTATAATTTCTGAATACTTATTAAAACAAGCAATGATTCAGAGGGGGCTGAGCAGTTTTCTATCTATGGTATGTGCTATATTGGTAGATACTCCACTTATGACTTTTGAAATAAGATTTTTACTGATGTTTTTTAATTGAGTCACACAAAAGGACTGATTTTCAGTTAATAAAAGTACCCAGATCCTTTTAGCTGCTGTTAGGATTAGCTAGTCTTCATCCTAATACTGTCCACAGCATATACTATAATAAGTACTACTATCCTGTGTTAAATCATCTAAATGCACTGCAAAAAAGGCAGTGCTTATTCTCCACGAACGGGTTTGAAAATTCTCCAGGCCAGAGGGCTGTGTCCTGACAGTCTTTTCCCTGTTCGCAAGACAAATGGGAATCAGCTGGTTTTTATAAATCCACAAATGCTACACCTTGCCATAGACAGGTAGGTTATTCATGCCAAAAGTAAACATTTTTTCCCTGTCCTGAGATTTTGCCTTGTATGGACCAATTTCAAATTGACAGTTGTAACGGTTCTTAAATGTATTTATAAAGGCATTTCCTATCTTGTAATGAAAATCAATATTTAAGACTTTCAGGCATTTCATAGCCAGGAGAGGTTCCCGAAAAGTAAAACAATCATCGTTTAGAAATCCAAATTTCCAGATACCCAACATACTCAGTCTCTGTGCAACTGGAGTTCATCCATACAAAAATAATCATGCCACCACAAAGGAATGCAAAATAATTACACATTTTTAGAGATTCCAAGCACTTACACTTGCCTGATTTTATAGATTAATTACTAGGAAGACAGAGGATTGTAAAAATCTTTGGATTCAATTCCATTAGAGAAGGCATAAATAATCTAATGATTACTATGCATGCCTGGCCAAATAGTTACTGTCACCGAGTTATGAGAGTGCTGTTTTCACTTCTAGCAGGGAAATGATCTGAGCTGCAAATTGAGCTCAGCTGTAAGGAAGAGATGCTTCGATCTGAGCTCCCAAACCTCCAGCGAAGAGGGGAACAGCCACTGAGTAATAAAAAAGCACAAGAAGCATTCAGTTATCATGAGATATTTAAAAATAAAACCCTTACATGGGAAATCCCTAACTACTTACTGCAGTTGTGTTGGTATTCATTTTTAAGTGGCCATAAAGATCTCTCCTTCCTGTATTCATGGTGAACTCCCCATTTTTTTCTTTTTAAAAATAGTCACAGTTATGTAATTAAAGGCAGGAGTGGTTGATTGGAGAGTGCATTTGATTTGGAGTGAGCGTGGCTTTGCCATTTAACAGCCATGTGATCATGTAGCAAAGGGCACTATCTTCCTGGGTCTGATTTGTTTTTTCCCTTGGCATCCAAATAATGATAGAAACACTTACCTAACAGAATTAAATGAGTGCACTTTCCAATTTGTAAACTAGAAACTTTTACACAATTGTGAGAGAGGATTTGAAAATGAATGTTTCAGACATTGGTAGTTTTCAAATAAGATTGATGAGGAAGGTAACCAAGAAGTCTGGAAAATTA